ATCTGCGACAGTCAATTAACGATCATCAGCTCGGGCACCGCGGTGGCTAGATGTTGACTACCTCGCCTGGTGTGCAGGAGGTCGTGGGTTCGATCACGACCCTCGACGCCTGCTGCTGTATATTTGGAGTCTGCGTGTCTCTCTCTCCCTGTAGTGAGATGTTAACCACCTCGCCTGGTGTACAGGAGGTCGTGGGTTCACTCCTGACCCCTGACGATGCCTGCTGCTGTATATTTGGAGTCTGCGTGTCTCTCTCTCACCCCGTGGTCGCGTGCATTTCCACATAAGCCACTTCATTGAGCTTTCATTTGTGATAGCCAGGTCACTTCAGAAAGAGAGATATATAGCTCAGTGGGATATACCTGGTAAAATAAAAGTAGTTTTTAAAATATATATTTATTAGTTATAACTCGCACAAAAGCCACAAAATCAACACTTGTGCATAGGTGGGCTTAATTTCCCATCAAATAAAAAGTCAAAATCAGTCCGCTCATCATGGCATGAACCTGAGCAAGGGTTACGCAACATGTACGTACGTATGGAGAAGTTCGTCACCCTAGACGATGATTTAAGAGCGGAATAGCTTCCCAGTGGCTTCCTGACATCGGAGGGAAGGGAAGAGCGTTCCAGACGGCCCCAGAAGCAGCGCGTCTGAAAGCGCCGCGCGATGCTGCGAGTCCATGTGGCCCCTGTGCGAGTCTGCGGGTTCCTATGCATGAATGTTGAACCTCTTTCGCACCGTGCTCATCGGCGGTGCGGGGGAAGGCCAACAAGCTAAACGCCACAAAAAACATCAGTAGTTCGAAAGAAATGACTTAAAAGTTCATCACAGCCAGCTCTCGGTAGCGTCTTCATATCGGAAGGAAGAGAGCGTTCCAGACGGCCGCGGAAGCGGCGCGTCTGAAAGCGCCGCGCGACGCCTGACGATGCGGTGACCACCACCGCCTTTGTTCGACGGTCAGCCGAAAGCCGCTGCTGCTGCTCCTGCTCCTGCTGCTGCTCCTGCTGCTGCTGCTCCTGCTGCTGCTCCTGCTGCTGCTGCTCCTGCTGCTGCTGCTCCTGCTGCGAGGACGACGACCGGGAGTTTGCGCGATGCTTCAGTAGCCGATGGCTCTGCGCTGGCAGGACGGAAGCGCCAACACCGCATGGCGTCCTTGATGCGCCTAACACGATCGCCGCCGTATTTGCGCCGCCGCGAGGCACGCCGATTAAAAATCGGCGCTCGCCTTCGAGGTGACGGCGAGGGAAATGAGACCGGCGATTTTCACGTCCCGCGCACTCTGAATGAGCCGTCAACTTGCGATATCCGGGTTCGCTTTTCATAAAACTGTTGCGAAATTGTAATTGTTGTGTTGTTGTTGTAGCGTTGTGACCCCGTGCCCCTACCTGGGGACGCGCCTGTGAAAAAAAAGAGCTTTACAGCTCATCGGATTGCTCCTGCGGTGTAAAAGACAATATTTCAAATTCTGCAGTCGTGGTGTGTTGTGATGCGACAATTTTCAGATTATTTTGCGGCTATAAGTTCTCACGTGGTGGTGGTGATGATGATGAGCCACTTCGTTGAGCTATCACTTGTCGTGGCCAGGTTCGCTCCTGAGAAAATAAGCGAATACCTCGGCGGGGGCTTCGCCTGGTAGCATGGGGATGGCTTAGTGTTGTGTTCGTATGTTGTTTGTGTGATTTTGTTTACCTTTCCGATACTCTGCACTCTGGTCGTTTTTTTTGTAATTGTTTGTTGTTGTGACGCTCCCGACTCCGTTCCCCTAACCGGACATCTGTGTTTTTTTTTTTCTTAAAGAGCTTTATAACTCATCAGATTCCTCCTGCAGTATAAAGACCGATTCAGATTCTGACACCAATCCCATCCCTAGACACTGGCTCCGGATCAAAGACTGGACTCCAACCTAAACACGGAACTGGAAGTCAGCCAGGGGGAGGCTCCGAGTCAGAGGGTGGACTCGAATCCGGACCGGGAGTCGAACCCACAGCAAAACCAGAACCCGGATCGGAAGTGGAACCGAAGCCACGACTGGAATTCGGTTTGCCTGTGGGACTCACAGGCAAACCGGAATCTGGACTCGAACTGGATCCCCCGGGGGTGGGACCCAAGCCACAACCAACACCCGCACCGGAATCAAAACCCGGGTCGGACCGCGACCCGGCAACGGGTCCCATCTCAAAACCGGGGGCTCGATCCGAATCGGGACCTCGCCGGAGAGAGCCACCGCCACCGCCGCCGCCTGTCGCAAGTCCGAACCCCGACGGAGTGGAATCCACCGCACGGCCGGCGTCCGGGCCCGGCGTTCGCCGGGAGCCGGATCGGGACCGCGGTTTCGCCGCCGCCGCCGCCGCCGCCGCCGCTGGCTACTACGACGTGTTCGACGTGACGCCGGCGCTGGGCGGCGCCGGCGACCCCGCGTCCCTCTGCTTCTCGCTGCGCTTCAGCGACGAGGCGGGCAGCCTGGTGCTGCACCACGAACTGGCACGCAGCTTCTACGCTCTCGAGCACCGCGGCGGCGGCGGCGACGGCGGCGGCGCCAGCATCAACAACGACGCCAACAACGACGACGACAACGCTAACAACCACAACAACAACAACAACGCTAAGCACAACAACGCCGCTAACCACAACAACAACGCCGCTAACCACAACAACAACGCCGCTAACCACAACAACGCCGCGCCGCCGCTGCTGCTAGCGTACGTCGACTTGCCGGCCCGGTAGCGTACACGATTAGCTCTTAAAACCAAGAGAGGCACACAGGAGGCTCGGCCGTGCGACGTGCGAACTTGTCTCGCGCCGTACGTAGCCAACGGTGCTACGTACGCGTGTGCACGGCAGGCGCAGAGGCTGGACGACTACGTTTGTTTTGTCACGACCACGGCGTCGTCGTGACAAAACATGTAACAGCGACCAAAGAGGTTCCCCCCCCCACAAGCCCCCCAACACCCCCCCCCCACAACACCCCTCCCCACAATACCCCCCCCCACAACACCCCCCCCCCCCCACCCCGGTCTCTTGCCAGCGTTTGCGTATTGCCAAAACGATCGCGAGGCATCCAAGATTCGCTTTACAATCATTTCTCCGCCAATTCTCCGGGTTGTATAAGATAGCCCACCCCACCCAGCCCCCCCCCCCTCATCCGCAATAAACGCCTGGCACCAAAAAGTCGGTGGTAGATTGTCTAACAACATCTGGTGTCTCTCTCTCGCACGCACAAAAGACAAAGATCCCCCGTGTAGCCTCTCAGACTGTCAGGGCAAGTGCTGTTAGTAGCGAGTAGCAGCAGCAGCACCTATGAAGGAGACAAAGATAAAGATCCCCCGTATAGCCTCTAACAGACTGTCAGGGCAAGTGCTGTTAGCGAGAAGCAGTAGCAGCACCTATGAAGGAGCCAATGATCCCCCGTGCAGCCTCTAACAGACTGTCGGGGCAAGTGCGGTTAGCGAGTAGCAGCAACGATGAAGGGGACAAAGACAAAGATCCCCCAGGTAGCCTTAACAGACGATCGGGGCAAGTGCTGTTAGCGAGTAGCAGCAACGATGAAGGGGACAAAGACAAAGATCCCCCGGGTAGCCTTAACAGACGATCGGGGCAAGTGCTGTTAGCGAGTCACAGCACCTATGAAGGCCGGCACTCTTGCACACGAGGGGGTGGGCGGCCAGCACCACGCCCGGCTGCCTTTGTCTCCCCTAGTGGCGATGTTTATTACACACACAGCACCAGCTACTCATTTGAGACTGAGTCGACCTAGGGGAGGCCTCAGGACAGGTTCCGATAATCGTCACCGGTGCTTGGTGGCCGTGAGCGGGAATCGAAATCGTGTCCTGGCCGGGGTTCGTAGCGCTAACCACTACACCACCGCTCCCCTCTCTCACGCACGCACACACGCACGAACGACACGCACGAACGACACGCACGCACGACACGCACACACGCACGCACACACGCACGCACACACACACACACGACACGCACGCACACACGCACGCGCACACACGCACGCACGCACACACACACGACACGCACGCACACACGCATGCGCACACACACGCACGCACACACGACACGCACACATGCATTGTAAGAGGCGGCCCTCCATCTTTTGCTTTGAAATGCCAGGATTAACTATTTTTTATTTTACCAGGGTAAGGCCCTCCACTGGAGCTAATGTAGTAGCTATATTTCGGAAGCGACCTGACCATCACAAATGATAGCCCCAACGAAGTGGGCTTATCATCATCATCGTCACGTGGACAATTACAGCGGTGGCCAAGTACTCTACAACGCGTGACGTCGAATCGAAACGTGGAGGGGAAAAAACCGGACCCCGGAGAAAAATCCACGCGACCACGGGGAGAGAGACACGCAGACTCCAAATATACAGCAGCAGCAGCAGGCATCGTCAGGGTCGGGATCGAACCCACGACCTGTAGACCAGGCGAGGTAGTTAACATCTCCTAGCCACCGTGATGATGAGAGACAGAGAGAGACAAGCAGACTCCAAATATACAGCAGCAGCAGCAGGCATCGTCAGGGTCGGGATCGAACCCACGACCTGTAGACCAGGCGAGGTAGTTAACATCTCCTAGCCACCGTGATGATGAGAGACAGAGAGAGACAAGCAGACTCCAAATATACAGCAGCAGCAGCAGGCATCGTCAGGGTCGGGATCGAACCCACGACCTGTAGACCAGGCGAGGTAGTTAACATCTCCTAGCCACCGTGATGATGAGAGAGAGAGACACGCAGACTCCAAATATACAGCAGCAGGCGTCAGGGGTCGGGATCGAATCCACGACCTCCTGCATACCAGGCGAGGGAGTTAACATCTCCTAGTCACCGCGGTGCCCCTTTAACCCAGTGCTTCGACCTGGGTATCTTGCCACTTGTGGACCCCCTGGGAAGTCCATGATGGTGATAAAAAAAAAAACAGCAGCAGTATAAAAGAATCTACATTCACGTACAACAACAACAACAATTTATGACGTTTGTTTGTGTGAAAGGCACGCGTTCCAAAACCACACAATGTTTGTCGGCGAGAGAAGAAGAATGCGGCTCGCGTGCTTCTCCGCCTCTCTCTCTCACGCGGTGGCAGTTCAATGCACCCCCGCCCCGGTGAACGGAGCCGCGCCCGCCCGCGATTCGATTCACAAACCCCCGACGCCGATCAGCTTCGCGATGTCGAAGTCGTCCGGCAGACTCAGCCGCCCGCCGTCGCCAAATCCCGCCGCGCCGGAATCCGGCGACAGCAGCGGCATGAGGTGCGAGAAATCGTTGAAGCCAGGGGGCGGCGATCCGCATCCTGCTCCTCCTCCACCGTCGCCACCGCACTGCAAGTCCAATGTGGAAAATCTCTCCTCCTCCTCCTCCTCCTCGTTCTCGGCATCTCCCTGCCAACGTACGGCCTGCGGGATCGCCGCCGCCGCCGCCGCCGCCGCCGCCTTCTCCTCCTCGTCCTCCGCCCTCCCGTCGCCCGTGCCCATCACCTCGCCCGAGTCGTCCTCCCCGGCGGCGCCCGGCGCCAGCCGCACTATCTCGAGGCCCGAGCTGACAGGCAGGGTCTTGAAGTAGCCGGTGGACACGATGACTCGCGGCGCCGGCGCGGCGGCCGAGTCGGCGCCGGCGGTGAGCGAAGGGCACCGAGGCGTCGACAGCCCGGACGAGCCCCCGACGCCGCTGCTCGACTTGCTGTCCTCGTCGGGGTCGGCGTCGCCCGCCTCGGTGATCGTCGAGCGGCGCTTGCCGCCGCCGCCGCCGCCGTTGCCGCCGGAGACGCCGATGGCGGTGACGGGCGACACGAGCGCGTCGTCCGAGGGGAACGCCGAGCACGAGCGCTGGAGGGGGGGGGCGGGGGGGCAACGGAGGTTCGCACGTTACGGGGAGGGCGGGCAATCGTCTACACACACACACACACGAGCCGCCGAAACGTTACCTGGCACTCGAGTGCCCACTGGGGAGACAAAGACGGCCGAGGTTGGGGGGGGGGGGGGTTGTGTGTGCGCGGGGTGCGGATAAAGTGAAATTTACGCTCGAATCGTGGCGTTGTTGTTTTTGTTAAGAGCTGGTAACTCCATCTCCCCGTGATATCTGTACACGCAACGCGCCGCACCGGGGAGACAAAGACGGCCGAGGGGGGTGTGCATGCATGCGTGGTTTGGACGAAGTGGAATTTCCACTCGAATTGTGTTACTGTTTTAGAGGTGGTCTCTCCATCTCTCTGTTTACTGGACATCGGTGAAGAAGAGTTCCGTAGCTCATCGGATTCCTGGAGCATAAATAAAGATTCTGATGGTGATTCTGGTGGTTTTACAGTGGGGGGGAGGGGTGGTTCAGCTGACTCACGACGGTGCTCCCACCAGGTTCTCAATCACCGGTGACTCGTACAGAGACCCATAGACTCACACAGAGACCCATAGACTCACACAGAGACCCATAGACTCACACAGAGACTCGCAGACTCACACAGAGACCCATAGACTCACACAGAGACTCAGACTCACACAGAGACCCATAGACTCACACAGAGACCCATAGACTCACACAGAGACCCATAGACTCACACAGAGACTCACAGACTCACACAGAGACCCATAGACTCACACAGAAACTCATAGACTCACACAGAGACTCATAGACTCACACAGAGACCCATAGACTCGCATCGAGACCCATAGACTCACACAGAGACTCAGACTCACACAGAGACTCATAGACTCACACAGAGACCCATAGGTTCACACAGAGACCCATAGACTCACACAGAAATACCCATAGACTCACACAGAGACCCACAGACTCGCATAGAGACCCATAGACTAACACAGAAACCCACAGACTCACGTAGAGACCCACAGACTAACACAGAGACCCATAGACTAACACAGAGACCCATAGACTAACACAGAGACCCATACTCACACAGAGACCCACAGACTCGCATGGACTGAGTTGTGACGAAGCAGGTTTCTCAAGTGTGTGCATCGAGTGGCGGTGAGGGGGGGGGGGGTCTCAGCCCGGCCACCGGTAACTGGGCGACAAATCCACCGCGTAAAGAATGTAGCGACGCCGCGCTGTCACCCGTACCGCCATGTCCAGATTCAAGGACTTGAAGAGTTTGCTGTCCGCAGGATCGGGGATGTGTTGCCAGAAGAGCAGCTTGTGTCTGCGTGCACCGGCACACACGGACAAAAACAAAAAGACGAAGATCCCCCGTGTAGCCTTAACAGACTGTAGGGGCAAGTGCTGTTAGCGAGCGCCTACGAAGGCCGGTAACGGCACACGAGGGGGTGGGTGGCCCGCACCACGGCCTTTTGTCTCCCCAGTGGCGACGTTTACTACGCACCGTGCCAGGTACTCATTTGAGGCCGAGTCGACCTAGGGGAGGACGAGGACCGGTTCAGATAATCGTCACGGGAATCGAACTCGGGTCGCCAGGTTCGTAGCGTAGCGTAGTGCTAACCAACCGCTGCACTACACACACAGGCACGCACAGAGACACACACAGACACATCGCTCGCTCGCTCGATCGATCAAGCGATCGAACGAGCGATCGGGTGATTGAGGGATCGATCGAGTGATCGAACGGGCGATTGAGGGATCGGGCGATCGATAGAGGGATCGGGCGATTGAACGAGCGATTGAAGGATCGATCGAACGAGGGATCGAGCGTTGCGATCGATCGAACGAGCGAGCGATCGATCGAACGAGCGATCGAGTGAGTTAACGGGCGATCGAGGGAGCGGGCGGGCGGGCGAGCGATCAAACGTCCGGCGATCATCCCCAGGGTGGGTCGCACTCCCGGTTGCCTCACCTCCTCAGCTGCCAGAGGCCGATGACGACCGCGATGCCCACCATGACCGAGAGCAACAGCAAGGTGGTGAGGGTGATCAGCCATCGCGCTGTGGTGCGGGGTGGTGGGGGGGGTAGGGGGTGGGGGGCGGTGGGGGGTGGTGGGGGGGAAGGGGGTGGGGGTTATTCTTCCGGTTCCGTTGCGATGACGTACGTAGCTCGTCGGCGGCGCTCATGCCCCCCGTCACTAACGTCAACCTCCATCGCCACCCCCGGCTGGCACTCGCTGGACGAGGGCACGGCGAAGGTGTCTCTCTGTGTGCGCGCGTGTCTCTCTGTGTGCATGTGTCTCTGTGTGCGCGTGTCTCTGTGTGCGCGTGTCTCTGTGTGCGATGTTCTGTGTCTCTGTGTGTGCGTGTCTCTGTGTGCGCGTGTCCCTGTGTCTCTGTGTGCGCGTGTGTCTGTGTGCGCGTGTCTCTGTGTGCGCGTGTCTCTGTGTGCGCGTGTCTCTGTGTGCGATGTTCTGTGTCTCTGTGTGTGCGTGTCTCTGTGTGCGCGTGTCTCTGTGTGCGCGTGTCTCTGTGTTGCGCGTGTCTCTGTGTTGCGCGTGTCTCTGTGTGCGCGTGTCCCTGTGTGCGCGTGTCCCTGTGTGCGCGTGTCTCTGTGTGCACGTGTCTCTGTGTGCGCGTGTCTCTGTGTGCGCGTGTCTCTGTGTGCGCGTGTCTCTGTGTGCACGTGTCTCTGTGTGCTCGTGTCTCTGTGTGCACGTGTCTCTGTGTGCGCGTGTCTCTGTGTGCGCGTGTCTCTGTGTGCGCGTGTCTCTGTGTGCACGTGTCTCTGTGTGCGCGTGTCTCTGTGTTGCGCGTGTCCCTGTGTGCGCGTGTCCCTGTGTGCGCGTGTCTCTATGTGCGCGTGTCCCTGTGTGCGCGTGTCTCTGTGTTGCGCGTGTCTCTGTGTGCGCGTGTCTCTGTGTGCGCGTGTCTCTGTGTGCGCGTGTCTCTGCCACTCACTGGACGAGGGCACGGCGAAGGAGTGCTCCGTGCCAGAGGGGCTCTCGCCTTCGCTCGAGGAGGCGCTCACCCACGCCACGTAGCGGGCACCCGCCTCCAGGTTGCTCAGCGCCAGCCGGCGGGGCTCGCTCGCACTGCGCGTCACATCTGGGTGGGTGGGTGGTGTGGTGGGGGGTGGTGGTGGGGGGCAGGGGTTGGTGGAGGGGGCGGTAGAGGTGCCAATGTTAATGAATGAGACTCATCGCCAATGTTTATGAATGAGACTCATCGCCAATGTTTATGAATGAGACTCATCGCCAATGTTTATGAATGAGACTCATCGCCAATGTTTATGAATGAGACTCATCGCCAATGTTAATGAATGAGACTCATCGCCAATGTTTATGAATGAGATTCATCGCCAATGTTTATGAATGAGATTCATCGCCAATGTTTATGAATGAGACTCATCGCCAATGTTTATGAATGAGACTCATCGCCAATGTTAATGAATGAGACTCATCACCAATGTTAATGAGACTCATCGCCAATGTTAATGAATGAGACTGGTCTGGTATTGGTGTTAATGAATGAGACTGGTCTGGTATTCGTGTTAATGAATGAGACTGGTCTGGTATTGGTGTTAATGAATGAGACTGGTCTGGTATTGGTGTTAATGAATGAGACTGGTCTGGTATTCGTGTTAATGAATGAGACTCGTCTGGTATTCGTGTTAATGAATGAGACTGGTCTGGTATTCGTGTTAATGAATGAGACTGGTCTAGTATTCGTGTTAATGAATGAGACTGGTCTGGTATTGGTGTTAATGAATGAGACTCGTCTGGTATTCGTGTTAATGAATGAGACTGGTCTGGTATTCGTGTTAATGAATGAGACTGGTCTGGTATTCGTGTTAATGAATGAGACTGGTCTGGTATTCGTGTTAATGAATGAGACTGGTCTGGTATTCGTGTTAATGAATGAGACTGGTCTGGTATTGGTGTTAATGAATGAGACTGGTCTGGTATTCGTGTTAATGAATGAGACTCGTCTGGTATTCGTGTTAATGAATGAGACTGGTCTGGTATTCGTGTTAATGAATGAGACTCGTCTGGTATTCGTGTTAATGAATGAGACTGGTCTGGTATTCGTGTTAATGAATGAGACTGGTCTGGTATTCGTGTTAATGAATGAGACTCGTCTGGTATTCGTGTTAATGAATGAGACTGGTCTGGTATTCGTGTTAATGAATGAGACTCGTCTGGTATTCGTGTTAATGAATGAGACTCGTCATCCAATGTTAACGAGTGAGGCTGGGACCAATGTTAATTAATGGCGCTGGTGAGTCTGGGGCGGGTTGGGGTTGGAGCCGGTGCCTCCTCACTGTGGACGGGTCCGCGCGGGTCGGTGGCCCGGTAGTAGACGGTGTAGCCGGTGATGAATCCCCGGCTCTCGTTGACCGTCAACTCGGCCCACTCCACGGTGGCACCGGACTCCGTCACGGACTGCGTGGTGACGCTGGGGCCCCGCAACGGCACTGAGCGACGCGCGGCGCAGAGACACGCAGAGATAGAGCACGCACACAGAGACACGCAGAGAAACACAGAACATCACACACGCAGAGACACGCAGAGATACAGCACGCACACAGAGACACGCAGAGAAACACAGAACATCACACACGCAGAGACAGGCAGAGATACAGCACGCACACAGAGACACGCAGAGAAACACAGAACATCACACAGAGACACGCAGAGATACAGCACGCACACGGAGACACGCAGAGGCGCACAGAACATCACACACGCAGAGACACACAGAGATACAGCACGCACACGGAGACACGCAGAGACGCACAGAACATCACACACACGGAGACACGCAGGACATCACACACACAGAGACACGCAGAGACGCACAGAACATCACACACGCAGAGACACGCAGAGATACAGCACGCACGGAGACACACAGAGACACACAGAACATCACACACAGAGACACGCAGAGATACAGCACGCACACGGAGACACGCAGAGACGCACAGAACATCACACACACGGAGACACGCAGAGATACAGCATGCACGGAGACACGCAGGACATCACACACACACAGAGACACGCAGAACATCACACACGGAGACACGCAGGACATCACACACGCAGAGACACGCAGAGACACGCAGAGACGCACAAAACATCACACACGCGGAGACACACAGAGATACAGCACGCACGGAGACACGCAGAGACGCACAGAACATCACACACACGGAGACACGCAGAGATACAGCACGCACACGGAGACACACAGAGACGCACAGAACATCACACACACAGAGACACGCAGAGATACAGCACACACGGAGACACGCAGAGACACACAGAACATCACACACGGAGACACGCAGAGATACAGCACGCACACGGAGACACACAGAGACGCACAGAACATCACACACGCAGAGACACGCAGAGATACAGCACGCACGGAGACACGGAGAGACGCACAGAACATCACACACACGGAGACACGCAGAGATACAGCACGCACGGAGACACGCAGAGACGCACAGAACATCACACACGGAGACACGCAGAGATACAGCACGCACGGAGACACGGAGAGACACACAGAACATCACACACAGAGACACGCAGAGATACAGCACGCACGGAGACACGCAGAGACACACAGGACATCACACACACGGAGACACGCAGAGATACAGCACGCACGGAGACACGCAGAGACACACAGGACATCACACACACAGAGACACGCAGAGATACAGCACGCACACGGAGACACGCAGAGACGCAGAGAACATCACACACACATGGAGACACGCAGGACATCACACACACGGAGACACGCAGAGACGCACAGAACCTCACACACACGGAGACACGCAGAGATACAGCACGCACACAGAGACACGCAGAGACGCACAGAACATCACATACACAGAGACACGCAGAGATACAGCACACACGCAGAGACACACAGAACATCACACACACAGAGACACGCAGAGATACAGCACGCACGGAGACACGCAGAGACGCACAGAACATCACACACACAGAGACACGCAGAGATACAGCACGCACACGGAGACACGCAGAGACGCACAGAACATCACATACACAGAGACACGCAGAGATACAGCACACACGCAGAGACACGCAGAACATCACACACACAGAGACACGCAGAACATCACACACACAGAGACACGCAGGACAGCAGACGCACACACGCACACGCAGAGACACGCAGAACATCACATACGGAGACATGCAGAGATACAGCACGCACGGAGGCACGCAGAGACGCACAGAACATCACACACACGGAGACACGCAGAGACGCACAGAACATCACACACACGGAGACACGCAGGACATCACACACGCAGAGACACGCAGAGACGCACAGAACATCACACACACAGAGACACGCAGAGACACACAGAACATCAAACACGCGGAGACACGCAGAGATACAGCACGCACGGAGACACGCAGAGACGCACAGAACATCACACACACGGAGACACGCAGGACATCACACACGCACACGCAGAGACACGCAGAACATCACACACACAGAGACACGCAGAACATCACACACACAGAGACACGCAGGACAGCAGACGCACACACGCACACGCAGAGACACGCAGAACATCACACACGGAGACACGCAGAGATACAGCACGCACGGAGACACGCAGAGACGCACAGAACATCACACACACGGAGACACGCAGGACATCACACACACGGAGACACGCAGAGATACAGCACGCACGGAGACGCACAGAACATCACACACACAGAGACACGCAGAGATACAGCAAGCACGGAGACACGCAGAGACAAGCAGAGATACAGCACGCACGGAGACACGCAGAGATGCACAGAACATCACACACAGAGACACGCAGAGATACAGCACGCACGGAGACACGCAGAGACACGCAGAGATACAGCACGCACGGAGACACGCAGAGATGCACAGAACATCACACACAGAGACACGCAGAGATACAGCACGCACACGGAGACACGCAGAGACGCACAGAACATCACACACGCAGAGACATGCAGGACATCACACACACGGTGACACGCAGGACATCAGACGCACACGCAGAGACACGCAGAACATCACACACACGGAGACACGCAGGACATCACACACGCAGAGACAAGCAGAGACACAGAACATCACACACACAGAGACACGCAGGACATCACACACACAGAGACACACAGAGATACAGTATGCACGGAGGCACGCAGAGAAACACAGAACATCACACACACGGAGACACGCAGAACATCACACACACAGAGACACGCATGACATCACACACACACGGACACGCAGACATGCAGAACATTACACACACAGAGACGCACAGAGATGCACAGAGACACTCAGAGACACGCACAGAGACATGCGCAGAGACACACAGGACATCACACACAGAGACACACAGGACATCACACACAGAGACACACAGGACACCAGACACCCACACACATAACAAAGACAAAGATCCCCTGTATAGCCTTAACAGACTATTGGGGCATGCTGTTAGCGAGCACCTATAAAGGCCGGCACGGCACACAAGGGGGTGGGTGGCCAAGACCACGCACGGCCGCCTTTGTCTCCCCAGTGGCGATGTTTACACATCGCACTACGTACTCATTTGAGGCTGAGTCGTCACACACACACAGACGCGCAGAGAAACGCGTAACAGAGACACGCAGAACATCACACCCACAAAGACACGCAGAACACAGACTAGTACTGTGTCTATGGGCAATGTAGGTCCCTGGGTTATGTTAGTCGATAGGCAATGTTACTCAAGTGCAATGTTAGTCTATGGGTTACGTCAGTGGAGGGAAATCCAGAGGACCCACACAGAAATCCACGCGACCACTGGGAGAGAGAGAGACACTGCAAACTCCAAACATACAGCAGGCGTCAGGGGTTGGGATCGCATCCACGACCTCCTGCATACCAGGCGAGGTAGTTAACATCTCCTAGCCACCATGATGATGATGATAAGAGAGAAAGACGCGCAAACTCCAAATACACAGCAGCAGGCATTGCCAGGGTTGGGATCGAACCCACGACCTCCTGCATACCAGGCGAGGTAGTTAACATCTCGTAGCCACCATGATGATGATGATAAGAGAGAGAGACGCGCAAACTACAAATACACAGCAGCAAGCATCGCCAGGGTTGGGATCGAACCCACGACCTCCTGCATACCGGGCGAGGTAGTTAACATCTCTTAGCCACCATGATGATGATGATAAGAGAGAGAAACGCGCAAACTCCAAATACACAGCAGCAGGCATCGCCAGGGTTGGGATCGAACCCACGACCTCCTGCATACCAAGCGAGGTAGTTAACATCTCGTAGCCACCGCGGCTCCCCTGGCAGTGCGTGGTGCCATACCCAGCTGCTTGCAGTAGGCCTGCACCGTGACGGGCCGGCTGACGTCCGCTCCGTCGCCGTGCACCGCAAACACCGAAACGTCCAAACGCTCGCCGGCTCGAACCACGTCTGGGGGGGGGGGGGGGGTGGCGGGGGGGGTGGGGGCGAGGGGGGGGCACCGACAACGTCTTTGTTTATTTTTTACCGGAGCTTTGTCGGTGTGTTGCAGCTGTTGCCGGCGAAGGAAGGTGGAAGGGGGGGTGAGAGCGACTGTGTGTGTGCCTGTGTGTGCCTGTGTGTGTCATAAGGTGCTACTCGCTAACAGCACTTTCCACAACAGTCTGTTAAGGCTATACGGGGGGATCTTTGTCTTTGTGTGCGTGTGTGTGTGCCACGCTTCACGTGGCCTTAACGCCGTGGTGACGTCTCCGCCACTTAGTGGCGAATGGCCGTTGTTTTTATTGTTGTTGTTGTTGTTGTTGCGTCATAGTGCAGCGTGTGGAGCGGAGGTGGAGCGGTTAGCGCTACGCCGCGCTACGATCCCGGCGACCCGAGTTCGATTCCAGCTCACGGCCACCAACACCGGTGACGATTCTCTGAACCGGTCCTGGGCCTCCCGTAAGTCGACTCAGCCTCAAATGAGTAGTAAACATCGCCACTGGGGAGACAAAGGCGGCTGTGCCGGGGTGCTGACCACCCTCGAACAAGAACCCTTGCCGCAAGAGCCACCGCACCTCCACCACCACCGCCACGACCACTGTCATCACCACCGCCAGTCACCACCGCCACAGTCACCACCGCCACGACCACTGTCACAGTCACCACCGCCAGTCACCACCGCCAGTCACCACCGCCAGAGTCACCACCGCCAGTCACCACCGCCACAGTCACCACCGCCACAGTCACCACCGCCACAGTCACCACCGCCACAGTCACCACCGCCACAGTCACCACCGCCACAGTCACCACCGCCACAGTCACCACCGCCACAGTCACCACCGCCACCACAGTCACCACCGCCACAGTCACCACCGCCACCACAGTCACCACCGCCACAGTCACCACCGCCACGACCACTGTCATCACCACCGCCACAGTCACCACCGCCACAGTCACCACCGCCACAGTCACCACCGCCACCACCGCCACAGTCACCACCGCCACGACCACTGCATCACAGTCACCGCCACCACAGTCACCACTGCCCCAGTCACCACCGCCGCCACAGTCACCACCGCCACAGTCACCACCGCCACGACCACTGTCATCATCACCGCCACAGTCACCACTGCCACAGTCACCACCGCCACGACCACTGTCATCACCACCGCCACAGTCACCACCGCCAGTCACCACCGCCACAGTCACCACCGCCAGTCACCACCGCCACCACAGTCACCACCGCCACCACAGTCACCACCGCCACAGTCACCACCGCCACAGTCACCACCGCCACGACCACCGTCACATCACCACCGCCACAGTCACCACCGCCACAGTCACCACCGCCACCACAGTCACCACCGCCACAGTCACCACCGCCACGACCACTGTCATCACCACCGCCACAGTCACCACCGCCACAGTCACCACCGCCACAGTCACCACCGCCACGACCACTGTCATCACCACCGCCACAGTCACCACCACCACAGTCACCACCGCCACGACCACTGCATCACAGTCACCACCGCCACAGTCACCACCACCACAGTCACCACCACCACAGTCACCACCACAGTCACCACAGTCACCACCGCCACGACCACTGTCATCACCACCGCCACAGTCACCACCACCACAGTCACCACCGCCACAGTCACCACCGCCGCCACAGTCACCACCGCCACAGTCACCACCGCCACAGTCACCACCGCCACAGTCACCACCGCCACAGTCACCACCGCCGCCACAGTCACCACCGCCACAGTCACCACCGCCACGACCCGGGCCCACGTTGGCTCCTCACCCCGAAGCTCCACGCTGGTCTTGCCGGCGGCCAGCCAGCGAAAGTTGTATCGACACGACTCCTCTGGCACAGCCGCGACCGGGCACCACGTCACCACGTGGGCCGTCGTGTCGGCGCCGTGGCCCGGGGACGCCCAGCTGACGAGCACGCCGGTGTTGTCGCCGGACTCTCCGGCAAACACCGCGCTCGGAGCCGGCGGTCCTGCGGATACGGTGACGGAGACGGCGGCGACGGAGCGCAGGGGGGTGAGAGGGACGGGGAGGGACGGGGAGGGGGGGAGGTGGGGAGGGGAGGGAGGGAGGTGGGGAGGGACGGGGAGGAGGGGAGGGAGGGGGGGAGGTGGGGAGGGAAGGATGGTGGGGAGGGGAGGGAGGTGAGGGAGGGAGGGAGGGAGGTGGGGAAGGAGAGATGAGGGGAGTGATAGGGGGAGGGATGGTGAGGAGGGAGGGAGGAGGGAGGAGTGAGGGAGGTGGGGGAGGGAGAGAGGTGGGGGAGGGAGGGAGGGGGGGGATTGAGGAGGGGAAGGATGGGGGGGGGGGGGGGGGAAGGGAAGGAGGGAGGGGAGAGAGGTGGGGGAGGGAGGGGGGGAGGAATTGGGGAGGGCAGGGATTGGGGGGGAGAGGGAGAGAGGGGGAGGGAGGGAGGGGAGGGAGGGAGGGAGAGAGGTGGGGGAGGGAGGGAGGGGAGGAATTGGGGAGGGCAGGGATTGGGGGGGGAGAGGGAGAGAGGGGGAGGGAGGGAGGGGAGGGAGGGAGGGGAGGGAGGGAGGTGGGGGAGGGAGGGATGGGGAGGGAGGGGAGGGGAGGGCCGGCCGCCGCCTTCTCACCGTGCGATCCGACGGCAGCCACGCCGACGCGCGACGCCGGGCTCTCCCCCGCCGAGTTCTGCGCCTTCACCGTGAGCCGGTGGGCGCCGGCGTTCAGCGCCAGCACGGCACTGCAGCCCCCCGCCGCCGGAGTGCCCGCGGCGTCGCCGCCGCATCGGCCCGTCGCCACGACGACGGTGGCGTTGCGGAAGGGGCCGTCGACGCTCTCGGCGGTGACCGCGTAGCGAAGGACGTTGCCGCGGGCGACGTTCGGCGCCAGCGTCTGTCGGCAAGAGACGGAGGTCTGGGACTGTTGTTGTTGTTGTTGTGTTGGTGTGTGGTCTGAGACTGTTGTTGTTGTTGTGTTGGTGTGTGGTCTGGGACTGTTGTTGTTGTGTTGGTGTGTTGGTGTGTGGTGTGAGACTGTTGTTGTTGTTGTGTTGGTGTGTGGTCTGAGACTGTTGTTGTTGTTGTGTTGGTGTGTGGTCTGAGACTGTTGTTGTTGTTGTTGTCTTGGTGTGTAGTCTGAGACTGTTGTTGTTGTTGTTGTTGTCTTGGTGTGTAGTCTGAGACTGTTGTTGTTGTGTTGGTGTGTAGTCTGAGACTGTTGTTGTTGTTGTTGTGTTGGTGTGTGGTGTGAGACTGTTGTTGTTGTTGTTGTGTTGGTGTGTGGTGTGAGACTGTTGTTGTTGTTGTTGTGTTGGTGTGTGGTCTGGGACTGTTGTTGTTGTTGTTGTCTTGGTGTGTGGTCTGGGACTGTTGTTGTTGTTGTTGTCTTGGTGTGTGGTCTGAGACTGTTGTCTGGGTGTGTGGTCTGAGACTGTTGTTGTTGTTGTTGTCTTGGTGTGTGGTCTGGGACTGTTGTTGTTGTTGTCTTGGTGTGTGGTCTGGGACTGTTGTTGTTGTTGTTGTCTTGGTGTGTGGTCTGGGACTGTTGTTGTTGTTGTTGTCTTGGTGTGTGGTCTGAGACTGTTGTTGTTGTGTTGGTGTGTGGTCTGAGACTGTTGTTGTTGTGTTGGTGTGTGGTGTGAGACTGTTGTTGTTGTTGTGTTGGTGTGTGGTCTGAGACTGTTGTTGTTGTCTTGGTGTGTGGTCTGAGACTGTTGTTGTTGTCTGGGTGTGTGGTCTGAGACTGTTGTTGTTGTCTTGGTGTGTGGTCTGGGACTGTTGTTGTTTTGCTGCTTGCCCCAAGGCCTTGCCCCAAGGCAGGAAAACAACAAGCCACGTAAGATAAAATAGTTTAGCTTCAGTTTAGTCTATGGGTCTCTGTGTGTCTCTGTGTGTCTCTGTGTGTCTCTGGGTCTCTATTCATTCCCTCCCTTCTCTACGCTTGCGAAACGTGGACCCCCCTAATGGAACATCTTCGCCGGTTATAAACATTTAGGCTGGCCTGCCTATGATCCATCCTGGGTTTAACCAGACTGGATTGTGTGAGGAGCTCACAAATCCTTGAAAGATCTGGGCAAGGTCACATCGGTGAGCTCCTCCGGCGGGCAAGGCTGCGATGGCTGGGTCATGTAGCCTGCATGCCCAGCCACCGCATGCCGAAACAGCTTTTGTTCGGCCGGATCGAGGGGGCTAAATGGGCGCGGCACGGGCTAGAGAAGAGATGGAGTGATGTGGTACAGAAGGACGTGGAGCTGAGTGGACTTGCCGATGATTGGTACCAGCGGTGTCAAGATCGGCCTCTGTGGAGGAGGCTCGTGAAGGACACTACTGGGCAGTTGGAGGTAGTCGCCCTCCAACAACAACGGAGGGCGGAGGAGCGACGCTCACAACAACGAGCGGAGCGCCGGGTGGCTAAAGCACAGCAGGTTGGCACAGTAGGGGGCACAGGTGGTGCATCAGCCAGTCATCTCAGTCAGTCGACCCGTGGCACCTGGGTTTGCCCCGTGACCTCCTGCCAGCGGGCGTTCGACACTCCATGTGGCCTCAAGGTGCACATGTCCTGGCACAAGCGTCGTGGTGACGTCACCGCCACTTAGTGGCGAATGGCAGTTGTTGTTGTATCTGTGTGTCTCTGTGTGTCTCTGTGTGCCTCTGTGTCTCTGTGTGTCTCTGTGTCTCTGTGTGTCTGTGTGTCTGTGTATCTCTGTGTGTATCTGTGTGTCTCTGTGTGTCTCTTTGTGTATCTGTGTGTATCTGTGTGTATCTGTGTCTCTGTGTATCTCTGTGTGTCTCTGTGTGTCTCTGTGTCTCTGTGTGTATCTATGCACGTCTATCCTATACAAGTGTCTGGAGCTCACTGTGAGTCTCTATGCGTCCACTTGGTAAGCCACTCACGTTGAGCGTTAAGTGGCTTAACGCTTCGGAAAATAAAGAGCTGTATAGCTCAGCGGGCCTTACCTGGTAAGAGCAAAAAATATATATCTTAAATTAAATTGAGTTTTCCTCCGCCGTGTACACGCTGGTTTAAAGTTAGTTTAGTTTAGACTCCGCCTCTCTGTGGTCTTCCACGGGTACAACTGTTGCAAGCATTGTCACATTATTATTGCCCTGCTATTATCGCACGCCCGTCTTGCCGAGCTGCGCGTTGTCCGGCAGGGGTCATGGAGGGTCGGTGGGTCACCTTCCAGTAGACGAAGACCTTGCGTTGACCCTCGGAATCCGCCGGGGTCACGACCCTCCACACCTCGGGGCCTGCGGAGGGAGCTGCGGCAACACGGAGGGTCACACTTCACCGCTCGGCGCGTTCACGGTTTCACCAGCGGGTCCGGCAATCGATTCCCCGCGCTCGGGGACGCACGCGCCTTGCTTCAGAGTCGCTCGCTCGCTCGTTCGTTAGCTCGCTCGCTCGCTCGCTCGTTAGCTCACCCGTTGGGTCACTCGCTCACGCACTCGCTCACTCGCACGTTAGCTCGCTTGTTAGCGCATTAAACGGAGAGAGCGAGGGGGCGTCTTTAAAAGCCACGTCGCAAAAAAACTCGCTCAGGTTACTTTTAACTTTCCCCTCCCTCCCCTTCCTCCCGTCGCTCACCCAATTCCGCGGTGGTGGCATTCGCCTCGGCCCAGTCGCTCCACCAGAGCTGCCCACGGTCGCCGATGCAGCGCAGCTGCACGCTGTACGTGGTGTGGGGGAGCAGCTGGTCCAGCGCGAACGAGGTGGCGCTCAGGTTCTGTGGGACGTCCGTCTGCACCCACACACACACACGCACACACACGCACACACACGCGCACACACACTCGTACGTTCACGCACACGCACCAGCACGCATGAAGACACGCACGCGGATACGCAAGCGCACCCACGCACGTACGTGCACGCACACGAAGACAAAGACAAAGATCCCCCCCGGATAGCCTTTAACAGACTGTTGGGGCAAGTGCTGTTAGCGATCACCTATGAAGGCCGGCGCTGTGGCACACGAGGGGGTGGGTGGCCAGCACCGTACCTGCTGCTGTGTGTAGTAAGCATCGCCACTGGGGAGACAAAGGCGGTCGGGCGTGGTGCTGGCCGCCCACCCCCGCGTGTACCATTCTGGCCTTCATAGGTGCTCGCTAACAGCACTTGCCCCTCCAGTCTGTTAAGGCTATACGGGGGATCTTTGTCTTTTGTAGTGGTGTGGTGGTGTAGTGGCATGTGCTGGTGTGGTGGTGTGTGGTGGTCGTGTGGTGGTGTGTGTTGGTGGTGTGGTGGTGATGGTGGTGTGGCGGTGTGGTGGTGTAGTGGTGTGGTGGTGAGTGGCATGTGGTGGTGTAGTGGTGGTGATGTGGCGGTGTGGTGGTGTGGCGATGTAGTGATGTAGTGATGTGATGGTGATGGTGGTGTGGTGGTGTAGTGGTGCGATGGTGGTGGTGATGGCGGTGTAGTGGTGTAGCGGTGTATTGGTGTGATGGTGGTGGCGGTGATGGCGGTGTGGCGGTGTAGTGGTGTGATGGTGGTGGTAGTGATGGTGGTGTGGCGGTGTAGTGGTGTCATGGTGGTGGTGATGGTGGTGTGGCGGTGTAGTGGTGTAATGGTGGTGGTTATGTGGTGGTGTGGCAGTGTAGTGGTGTGATGGTGGTGGTGGTGATGGCGGTGTAGTGGTGTGATGGTGGTGGTGGTGGTGATGGCGGTGTCGCGGTGTAGTGGTGTGATGGTGGTGGTGGTGATGGCGGTGTAGCGGTGTAGTGGTGTGATGGTGGTGGTTGTGTGGTGGTGTGGCAGTGTAGTGGTGTGATGGTGGTGTGGCGGTGTAGTGGTGTAGTGGTGGTGATGGTGGTGGTGGTGGTGCGCGGGTGCCTGCACCGTTGCGTACCCACAGCTGCTGGGGCAGTGCGGACGGGCGGTAGCGCAGGTGGTAGCGCAGCTTCACGACAAGCGGGTCGATGTCCCGCGGGGCGCTCCAGCGCACCAGGGGGTAGTCGCTCAGCAGGAAGTCGTTCATGTCCAACGTCGGGGGGTCGGTTTTCACTGGGGAACGATCGCAGCGACAACGACGATCGTAACAACAACGACGGTGGTGGTAATGGTGGCGACGGTGGTGGAGGTGGTGGTGCTGGTGGTGGTGCGAGTGGTGGTAGTGGTGATAGTGGTGCTGGTGGTATAGGTGATGGTTCTGGTGGTGCTGGCAGTCGTGGTGGTGGTAGTGGTGATAGTGGTCCTGGCAGTAGTGGTGGTGGTAGTGCTGGTGGTGCTGGCAGTAGTGGTGGCGGTTGTGGTGGTGGTGCTGGCAGTAGTGGTAGTGATAGTGGTCCTGACAGTAGTGGTGGTGGTAGTGCTGGTGGTGCTGGCAGTAGTGGTGGCGGTTGTGGTGGTGGTGCTGGCAGTAGTGGTAGTGGTGGTGGTGCTGGCAGTAGTGGTAATGGTGGTGGTAGTGCTGGTGGTGCTGGCAGTAGTAGTGGCGGTTGTGGTGGTGGTGCTGGCAGTAGTGGTAGTGGTGGTGGTAGTGGTGGTGGTGCTGGCAGTCGTGGTAGTGGTAGTGCTGGTGGTGCTGGCAGTCGTGGTAGTGGTAGTGCTGGTGGTGCTGGCAGTAGTGGTGGCGGTTGTGGTGGTGCTGGCAGTAGTGGTGGCGGTAGCGGTAGTGGTGCTGGCAGCAGTGGTAATGGTGGTGCTGGCAGTAGTGGTGGTGGTGGTGCTGGTGGGGGAGCCGGTGGGGGCGACTCACGGAACTTTGTGGGGTCGAACTCAGCGAGGTGATCCGCGCTGCCCAGACTGCTGTCGGCGAGCAGCCGGAACGTCTGGGTCATGAAGATGTTGAAGTTTTCGCGCGGGACGATGCAGCGCGTGACATCCGTCCCGCACGCATGCACGCTCGTCGTGGTGGTGCCTGGCATGCTGCGGTGACCCGAGAGGGGAGGAGAAGAAAGGGCAGGGGAGGGGGGAGGGAGGGGAGGAGAGGGGAGGAGAGGGGAGGGAGGGGAGGAGAGGGGAGGGAGGGAGGGGAGGGAGGGAGAGAGGGGAGGGAGGGAGCAGAGGGAGGGAGGAGAGGGAGGGAGGAGAGGGAGGGAGGAGAGGGGAGGGAGGGAGGTTGGGAGGGAGGGAGCAGAGGGAGGGAGGAGAGGGAGGGAGGGAGGTTGGGAGGGAGGGAGGGAGCAGAGGGAGGGGAGGGAGGGGAGGAGAGGGGAGGAGATGGGAGGGAGGGAGGGAGCAGAGGGAGGCGAGGGAGGGAGCAGAGGGAGGGAGGAGAGGGAGGGAGGAGAGGGAGGAGAGGGAGGAGAGGGGAGGGAGGTTGGGAGGTTGGGAGGGAGGGAGCAGAGGGAGGGAGGAGAGGGAGCAGAGGGAGGGAGGAGAGGGAGGGAAGAGAGGGAGGGAGGAGAGGGAGGCAAGTTGGGATGGGAACGATCGGATCGCAAACGGGTCGTCGTAGTTGTGATCGTCATCGTCACCATTGTCGTCGTCCTCATGATCGTCGTCGTCATCATCATTACCATCGTCATCATTGTCATGATCATCGTCGTCGCTATCATTGTCGTCGTCATAATTATGATCGTCGTCATCATCATAGCCGTGCTGCCGCCACCCCTTGATAGGCGGGTGCACATCTCACTGGGTGGGAAGTTGCGCGGCTGATACCGCTGCGGTGACACGCAGGTGCCGCCCGGTGACGATGGTGGTGCAGTTGGTGGGGAGGTGGCAACCTGATGGTGGTGGTGTAGTTGGTGGGGAGGTGGCAACCTGACGTTGATGGTGCAGTTGGTGGGGAGGTGCCAACCTGAAGTTGATGGTGTAGTTGGTGGGGAGGTGGCAACCTGAAGTTGATGGTGTAGGTGGTGGGGAGGTGGCAACCAGACGTTGATGGTGTAGCTGGTGGGGAGGTGGCAACCTGAAGTTGATGGTGTAGTTGGTGGGGAGGTGGCAACCTGAAGTTGATGGTGTAGTTGGTGGGGAGGTGGCAACCTGCAGTTGATGGTGTAGTTGGTGGGGAGGTGGCAACCTGACGTTCATGGTGTAGTTGGTGGGGAGGTGGCAACCTGACGTTGATGGTGTAGTTGGTGGGGAGGTGGCAACCTGCAGTTGATGGTGTAATTGGTGGGGAGGTGGCAACCAGATGTTGATGGTGTAGTTGGTGGGGAGGTGGCAACCTGAAGTTGATGGTGTAGTTGGTGGGGAGGTGGCAAACTGACGTTGATGGTGTAGTTGGTGGGGAGGTGGCAACCTGAAGTTGATGGTGTAGTTGGTGGGGAGGTGGCAACCTGACGTTGATGGTGTAGTTGGTGGGGAGGTGGCAACCTGACGTTGATGGTGTAGTTGGTGGGGAGATGGCAACCTGACATTGATGGTGTAGTTGGTGGGGAGGTGGCAACCTGACGTTGATGGTGTAGTTGGTGGGGAGGTGGCAACCTGACGTTGATGGTGTAGTTGGTGGGGAGGTGGCAACCTGACGTTGATGGTGTAGTTGGTGGGGAGGTGGCAACCTGATGTTGATGGTGTAGTTGGTGGGGAGGTGGCAACCTGACGTTGATGGTGTAGTTGGTGGGGAGGTGGCAACCTGAAGTTGATGGTGTAGTTGGTGGGGAGGTGGCAACCTGACGTTGATGGTGTAGTTGGTGGGGAGGTGGCAACCTGACGTTGATGGTGTAGTTGGTGGGGAGGTGGCAACCTGACGTTGATGGTGTAGTTGGTGGGGAGGTGGCAACTTGACGTTGATGGTGTAGTTGGTGGGGAGGTGGCAACCTGACGTTGATGGTGTAGTTGGTGGGGAGGTGGCAACCTGACGTTGATGGTGTAGTTGGTGGGGAGGTGGCAACCTGATGTTGATGGTGTAGTTGGTGGGGAGGTGGCAACCTGACGTTGATGGTGTAGTTGGTGGGGAGGTGGCAACCTGATGTTGATGGTGTAGTTGGTGGGGAGGTGGCAACCTGATGTTGATGGTGTAGTTGGTGGGGAGGTGGCAACCTGACGTTGATGGTGTAGTTGGTGGGGAGGTGGCAACCTGACGTTGATGGTGTAGTTGGTGGGGAGGTGGCAACCTGAAGTTGATGGTGTAGTTGGTGGGGAGGTGGCAACCTGACGTTGATGGTGTAGTTGGTGGGGAGGTGGCAACCTGACGTTGATGGTGTAGTTGGTGGGGAGGTGGCAACCTGACGTTGATGGTGTAGTTGGTGGGGAGGTGGCAACCTGATGTTGATGGTGTAGTTGGTGGGGAGGTGGCAACCTGACGTTGATGGTGTAGTTGGTGGGGAGGTGGCAACCTGAAGTTGATGGTGTAGTTGGTGGGGAGGTGGCAACCTGACGTTGATGGTGTAGTTGGTGGGGAGGTGGCAACCTGACGTTGATGGTGTAGTTGGTGGGGAGGTGGCAACCTGATGTTGATGGTGTAGTTGGTGGGGAGGTGGCAACCTGACGTTGATGGTGTAGTTGGTGGGGAGGTGGCAACCTGACGTTGATGGTGTAGTTGGTGGGGAGGTGGCAACCTGACGTTGATGGTGTAGTTGGTGGGGAGGTGGCAACCTGACGTTGATGGTGTAGTTGGTGGGGAGGTGGCAACCTGACGTTGATGGTGTAGTTGGTGGGGAGGTGGCAACCTGACGTTGATGGTGTAGTTGGTGGGGAGGCAGCTCTTCGGCAGGGAGTCCCAGGTGCACACCAGGTCGCCATCCAGGTCAGGCCCCATCACGTACGTCACGCCCGTGGGCACCTCTGGAGGACCTGAGAAAGGGGAAGGGGGGGGGGCAGCAGCAGCAAGGGATTGTGGGTATGTGGGATGACGTATGGATCACTCCACATGCCTCCACGCACTCTCCTGCCTCTCCCCTCTCATCTCACTCCACTCCCCTGTACGCTCTCTCCTGCCTCTCCCTCTCATCTCACTCCACTCCCCTCTACACTCTCTCCTGCCTCTCCCTCTCATCTCACTCCCCTCCACGCACTCTGCTGCCTCTCCCTCTCATCTCACTCCACTCCACTCCACGCTCTCTCCTGCCTCTCCCTCCCATCTCACTCCCCTCCACGCACTCTCCTACCGCTCCCACGGTGGCGAGATGTTAACTACCTCACTTGGTATGCAGGAGGTCGTCAGGTCGACCCCGACCCTGATGCCTGCTGTATATTTGGAGTTTGCGTGTCGCTCTCTCTCTCTCTCTCCCGGTGGTCGCGTGGATTTTTCTCCAGGTACTCGCTCAACCAAGTGGCTTATCAAATTTTAAAAAAAATAACGCAGCAGCCAAATAATATAAATCCATGACGTTGATTCTCAATGGCGGAGGAGGGAAAATCCAGAGGACCCGGAGAAAAATCCACACGATCAAACTCCAAATATACAGCAGCAGCAGCAGGCGTCGTCAGGGGTCGGGATCGAACCCACGACCTCCTGTACACCAAGCGAGGTAGTCAACATCTCCTAGCCACCGTGATGATGATGACAGAGAGAGAGAGAGACACGCAAACTCCAAATATACAGCAGCAGGCGTCAGGATCAGAGGTGAACCCACGACCTCCTGTATACCAGGCGAGGTGGTTAACATCTCCTATCCATGATGATGATGAGAGAGAGAGAGAGAGAGACACGCAGACTCCAAATTTACAGACGTCGTCAGGGGTCGGGATCGATCCCACGACCTCCTGTACACCGGGCGAGGTGGTTAACAGCTCACCACAGGGAGAGAGAGAGAGACACGCAAACTCCGCCCTGTGTAAGCAAAACAAACAAACAATAACAACAACAACAACAAATAAAGCGAGGAAACAGAAGAAGGAAATCCACACGTCTGGTAAAACAGCGCTTCCCCCCAACACCCCAACCCCCCCCCCACCCCCACCCCCCCGAGCCTCCTCTGATTTTCTTGTTTTTTGTTAGTTTGAAGAAAAACGGCGGTGAGTCACCGGACCGCAGAGGAAGCCGGGACGGCGAGTCACCAGTGCCGCGATTACCACCCCACTCCCGCCAAGTTACACAGCGGTGGCGACGGCGGCGGTGACGACGATGACGACGACAACCAAGATCACGACGACGACCACGACGATCACGACGATCACGACGACGACGACGAGGACGACGACGACGATCACGACGACGAGGACGACGACCACGACGATGATAACGATAACGACGACGAGGATGACGACGACGACGATCACGACGATGATGACGACGACCACGACGACGACCACGACGATGACGACAACGACGACGATCACGACGATGATAACGACGATGACGACGACGACGACGATGATGACGACCACGACGATGATAATGACGATGACGACAACGACGACAACGATGACGGCAGCACGGCTACGATGACGACGACAATCATGACGACGATCATGACGACGATCATGACGACGATCATGACGACGACGACGGCGGCAGCACGGTTACGATGACCATGAGGACGACGATCATGACGACGACGATCATGACGACGACGCTCGTGAAGACGGCGACAACAATGACGGCCACGACGACCACGAGGGCTCTCCCCTTCAGCTCGCCCGCACACCGCGCTCCCTCTCTCTCGACAGACCGACGTCTTCATTTCGTCGCAGATATTCACGCTGTTCATGTTCGCATTGCGGCCGCCCCCCCCCACACACTCCGTCCGCCCTCTTTGTGCCGGTGTCCTCCGGCCTAACGGGCGGTGGTGAGACAAGGCCCTCCTCAAATGAGGCCTGCGAGCGGCTCTGGTGTAAAGGCCAATCGCTTGGCTCGTCGCCCGCACCTCCGATGGGCGCCGATGGCTACGTGGGGCGTGCAAGGAGCTCGATGTAACAACACATCCGTGCGTCTCTCTTTCACCCCCGCGACTCCGATTGGCGCGGGCGGTTACGTACGGTGAAAAAGAAGTTCAACGCACATACACATTCATAGACTCACACAGAGATCCGTAGACTAGCACACAGAGACCCATAGACTAGCACACAGAGACCCGTAGACTAGCACAGAGACCCGTAGACTCGCACAGAGACCCATAGACTCGCACAGAGACCCATAGACTCGCACAGAGACGCATAGAATCACACAGAGACCCATAGACTCACACAGAGACCCATAGACTCACACAGAGACCCATAGACTCACACAGAGACCCATAGACTCGCACAGAGACCCATAGACTCGCACAGAGACCCATAGACTCGCACAGAGACCCATAGACTCGCACAGAGACCCATAGACTCGCACAGAGACGCATAGAATCACACAGAGACCCATAGACTCGCACAGAGACCCATAGACTCGCACAGAGACCCATAGACTCGCACAGAGACCCATAGACTCACACAGAGACCCATAGACTCACACAGAGACCTATAGACTCACACAGAGACCCATAGACTCGCACAGAGACCCATAGACTCGCACAGAGACGCATAGAATCACACAGAGACCCATAGACTCGCACAGAGACCCATAGACTCGCACAGAGACCCAGAGACTCGCACAGAGATCCATAGACTCACACAGAGACCCATAGACTCACACAGAGACCCATAGACTCACACAGAGACCCACAGACTCACACAGAGACCCATAGACTCACACAGAGACCCATAGACTCACACAGAGACCCATAGACTCACACAGAGACCCATAGACTCACACAGAGACCCATAGACTCACACAGAGACCCATAGACTCACACAGAGACCCATAGACTCGCACAGAGACCCATAGACTCACACAGAGACCCATAGACTCACGGTGGTGCAAAAGAAGTTCAAAGTGCAGTTCAAGCTCCGCGGCACTCGCAGAATCCCTTTTTTTTTTGTTTCTCCAGACTGCGAGAGAAATCCGATGAGCTACGAAGCTCTTGTCCACATGCCGCCCTCTCAGTGTTAGAATTCCCCTCCTCCTCGTCCCCCACCAGCGCTACTGACTCCCCTTAACCACCCCCACGACTTCCAAGGCTTGGGGTGGCTCTTGACAGCTTCCCGTTTCCCCTATGAGTGTCTCCCCCTTTTTAAAAAAATAAATAAGGAAAAATATATAAGTCGTGGGGAAGAGCGGCGGCGCAGCGGTTAGCAAGGGCGCAGCGCCATGGATCCGGCAAACGTTTTCATTTCATCATCATGAGACCTCCCTTTTGCCAGTACCAAAATATGAGAATAGGTTTTTCCCCTTTTTTCTGGCGACAAAACAGCTGTGTTGAGATGTTAAAACACCAAACTGAAACCTTTTTACAAGGAATCATGTTACTGCATTAACCACAATGCTTGTGGTCAGAATGCAAACAAAAAAACACTGATAATATATGCTGCATTGTCCTTGAAACTGATTGGTCCACACCAGAGACAGCTTTCTGTTGAATCCTCGTCTCAAACGGTGTTAGACCAGCGGACGCCAAAAGGCGTACACAGCTCAAAGACAATGCACTATCAGAGTAATGAGAGGACAATGCACATATTATCAGAGTATGTTTTTTTGTGTGCATTCTGACCACAAGCATTGTGGTTAATGCAGTAACATGATTCCTTGTAAAAGGTTTCAGTTTGGTGTTTTAACATCTTAAGACAGCTGTTTTGTTGCCAGAAAAAAGGGGAAAACCGATTATCACGTTTTCATTTCATTTAATAATTTTATTGACGCACGCGGCTAAACCCGCGGCTATCCAACGACACGCCGTCGCTGTGAGCAGATGGGTCACCATGGTGGCTAGGAGACGTTAACTACCTCGCCTTGTATCCAGGAGGTCGTGGGTTTCATCCCGACCCCTGACCCTGACGCCTGCTGCTGCATATTTGGAGTTTGCGAGTCTCTCTCTCTCATCATCATCATGGTGGCTAGGAGATGTTGACTACCTCGCCTGGTGTACAGGAGGTCGTGGGTTCGATCCCGACCCTGATGACGCCTGCTGCTGCTGCTGCTGTAGATTTGGAGTCTGCGTCCCGCTCTATGCTCTCTCTCCCCGTGGCCGCGTGGATTTTTTCTCCGGGTCCCTCCGGCTTTTCCCTCCACATTTAGAATCGACGTCGCGCGTCGCAGAGTATTTGGCTGCTGCTGTGCATGTCCACGTGGCGATGACGACGGTGCTAAGCCGGCACTTCGTCGAGCCATTGTTTGTGGCGGCCAGGGTCGCTTCTCAAAAAAGAGCTCGACAGCTCAGCGAGGGACCTTGACCGGCAAAATACAAATTTGCTCAGCATAATGAGGCGCGTGTAGGGCTAGCATCTAGGAGGCATCCAGCAGCATCCCAACGCCTCGCGGGGCAGAGCGCACAAAGCACCCGCTCGCCCTCGCACGACGCAGCGGTCCCGTTCGCTCCGATCGTCGCGTCAACGCGCAACCCGCACGCCCGCGTCGCATCCGTCGCGCGACACGTCCAACCGGCGTAGCGAAAGCAAACGCGCCTCACGGGAGGACGGGCTGCCCGCGAGTACACGCGTTACTGTATCATAGTTGAACGCGTGGGGCGGGGGGCGACGAGGGGGGCGACGAGGGGGGGCACCGCCGATGCAACGTTAAGAGCCGCCGGATAATCGCCGCACCGCCGCTGCCAAGCCGACGACCGCCGCTCATTGACGCGGGACTCACTTGCGCCGCACACGACGGCCGCGGCGAGCAGCGTCTCGCCCGAGGTGCAGTCGAGGAGGCAGACGAGCTTGGAGAGGCCGGCGGGCGCGTAGCGCGACACCGCCAGCGCCGCCACGGCCGTCTCGCCCGCCGCCTCGACGCTCGGCCGCGCCTCCGGCGGTCCCAGGCGCTCGCCAGCCAACCTCCAGACGACGTCGTGCACCGTGCAGCCCCTCTGCAATGTCACCGGCGGCGTCGGCGTCACCGGCGGCGTCACCGTCGGCGTCACCGTCGGCGTCACCGTCGGCGTCACCGTCGGCGTCACCGTCGGCGTCACCGTCGCCATTGTTACCATCGGCGTCACCGTCATTTGAAAGCCACCGGGAGCCGCGGGCGTGCACTTTAAAATCGCCAAACAGACTGATAAACTCGCGCCTTGATTAGAAGTGGCTTCGTCCACGCGCGCCGTACACTGCCATCGTGAGCGAGTGAGGCTGCCACTGACATGGACGCGTGCGTGTGTCGTGTGTGCGTCGTGTGTGTGTGTCGTGCGTGTGTCATGCGTGTCTCGCCTGTGTCGCGTGTGTGTCGTGCGTGTGTGTGTCGTGTGTCGTGTGTGTGTGTGTCGTGTGTGTGTGTGTCGTGTGTCGTGCGTGTGTGTGTCGTGTGTGTGTCGCGCGCGTGTTGTGCGTGTGTGTGTCGTGTGTGCGTCGTGTGTGTGTGTCGTGCGTGTGTCATGCGTGTCTCGCCTGTGTCGCGTGTGTGTCGTGCGTGTGTGTGTCGTGTGTGTGTGTGTCGTGTGTGTGTGTGTCGTGTGTCGTGCGTGTGTGTGTCGTGTGTGTGTCGCGCGCGTGTTGTGCGTGTGTGTGTCGTGTGTGTGTCGTGTGTGTGTGTCGTGTGTGTGTCGTGTGTCGTGTGTGTGTCGTGTGTCGTGTGTCGTGTGTGTGTGTTGTGTGTGTGTGTATCGTGTGTGTGTGTCGTGTGTCGTGCGTGTGTCGTGTGTGTGTGTGTCGTGTGTTGTGCGTGTGTGTTGTGTGTGTGTGTATCGTGTGTGTGTGTCGTGTGTCGTGCGTGTGTCGTGTGTGTGTCGTGTCGTGCGTGTGTGTCGTGTGTGTGTCGTGTCGTGCGTGTGTGTGTGTCGTGTGTGTGTCGTGTCGTGCATGTGTGTGTGTCGTGTGTCGTGTGTGTGTTGTGTGTGTCGTGTGTGTGTTGTGTGTGTTGTGTGTGTTGTGTGTGTGTCGTGTCTCGCGTGTCGTATGTCGTGTGTGTGTGTGCGTCATGTGTGTGTCGTGTGTGTCGTGTGTCGTGTGTGTGTTGTGTGTGTTGTGTGTGTCGTGTGTGTCGTGTGTGTGTTGTGTGTGTTGTGTGTGTTGTGTGTGTGTCATGTCTCGCGTGTCGTGTGTCATGTGTGTGTGTGCGTCATGTGTGTGTCGTGTGTCGTGTGTGTGTGTGTGTCGTGTGTCGTGTGTGTGTGTGTGTTGTGTGTGTCGTGTGTGTGTTGTGTGTGTTGTGTGTGTTGTGTGTGTGGCGTGTCGTGTGTGTCGTGTGTCGTGTGTGTGTGTCGTGTGTCGTGCGTGCGTGTGTCGTGCGTGTGTCGTGCGTGTGTCGTGCGTGTGTGTGTGTCGTGTGTGTGTTGTGTGTGTTGTGTGTGTTGTGTGTGTTGTGTGTGTGGCGTGTCTCGCGTGTCGTGTGTGTGTGTGCGTCATGTGTGTGTCGTGTGTGTCGTGTGTCGTGTGTGTGTCATGTGTGTGTGTGTGTGTGTCGTGTGTATGTCGTGTGTGTGTCGTGTGTCGTGTGTGTGTCGTGTGTGTGTGCGTGTGTCGTGTGTCGTGTGTGTGTGTGTGTCGTGTGTGTGTGTGTGTCCGTGTGTATGTCGTGTGTGTGTGTGTGTGTCGTGTGTGTGTGCGTCTCTCCCCCCCTTCCCCATCGCGCGCTGCGCCGCACCTCCAAGCCGCCCAGCTGTCCAGGCGGCAGGCGGCAGCGCCAGGTGAACGGCAGCCCCAAGGTCGCCACGGCGTCCTGCGGCTCCAACTCGGCCTCCGGGCGCCCTCCTGCCGGCCGGGGGAAAACACCACTCTCCTGTCAAGTCGGTCAGTCGGTCAGTTAGCCGGGCAGTCAGTCGCTCAGTCGGTCGGTCGATCAGTCAGTCTGTTAGTCGGTTGGTTGATCAGTCAGTCTGTTAGTCGGTTGGTCGATCAGTCAGTCTGTTAGTCGGGCAGTCAGTCGGTCAGTCGGTCGGTCGGTCAGCGAGGGCTACGGTTTGGCCGAAGCCGGGGGGGGGTGGCGGGGGCGGGTGGGCCGGGCTCACCGGATCGCACCGCGGGCGCCCAATGCAGCAGCAGGAGGGGTGCCACCAAGAGGAGCGCCGGGGGGGGCGGCCTCATCGCGTCGCCGCCGGGAACGGCGCGCTCGGCAAAACCTGCGAACCGCAAGTACAAGGCAAAGACAAAGGTCCCCCCCACCGTGTGTAGCCTCTCACAGACTGTCGGGGCAAGTGGTGTTAGCAAGTAGCAGCAGCGCCTATGAAGGAGACAAAGACAAAGATCCCCCGTGTAGCCTCTGACAGATTGTCGGGGCAAGTGGTGTTTAGCGAGTAGCAGCAGCGCCTATGAAGGAGACAAAGACAAAGATCCCCCATGTAGCCTCTAACAGACTGGAGGGGCAAGTGCTGTTAGCAAGTAGCGGCAGCGCCTATGAAGGAGACAAAGACAAAGATCCCCCGTGTAGCCTCTAACAGACTGTCGGGGCAAGTGCTGTTAGCGAGTAGCAGCAGCGCCTATGAAGGCCGGCACTGTGGCGCATGAGGTGGGTGGTCAGCAACCACGCCCGGCCACCTTTGTCTCCCCAGTGGCGATGTTTACACACCGCGCCAGGTACTCATTTGAGGCCGAGTCGACCTAGGGTAAGCCCAGGACGGGCTCAGATAATCATCACCGGTGTGGTCCGTAAGCGGGGACAGATCTACGGTCACCAGGCTTCCTAGTGCGGGGCACTAACTGCTGCGCCACCACTCCCCACACACACACACACGTGGGTGGTGGTGCAGTGGAAACGCTCGTGGCTCGCAGCAAAAAGAGCCTGGGTTGGATTCCCAACTCGGGCGCCTTGCTGTGTGGAGTTTGCTGTGTTCTCCCGAGTGTGAGCGAGCGTGTGAGCCTCTCTGCGCCTGTTCGTGTTGTGCCCCTGTACGTCCTCTGTGTGAGCATGTGCACCTGGCCTGGCACAGGAGCCGTGGTGATGTCACCGTCACTTAGTGGCAAATGGCGGGGGTTGCTATTGGTGCGTACGTTGAACTTCTTTTTCCTACCGGACATATCCGACCGTGCCAATCGGAGGTGCGGGGGAAGGACAACAAACAAAACACAACAGCAACAAGAAGCAGTTTGAAAGATATGAGTTTGTCAATGTAGATGACGATGATTTAAAAGTGCATCACAGCTCCCAGTGGCTTGCTCGTATCGGAAGAGAGCATTCCAGACGGCCGCAGAAGCGCACCTGAAAGCGATGTCGTGACCGTCCTTGTTCGATGGCTAGCCACAAGCCATTGTTGCCGCAAGCATGACTGGAGTTTGCACCATACATAGCCAACCGTGCTGTGTGTGTATATGTTGAATGTCTCTGGCACCGTACATAGCCAACCGTGCTGTGTGTGTATATGTTGAATTTCTCTGGCACCGTACGTAGCCAACCGTGCTGTGTGTATATGTTGAATTTCTCTCGCACCGTACGTAGCCAACCGTGCTGTGTGTATATGTTGAATTTCTCTGGCACCGTACGTAGCCAACCGTGCTGTGTGTGTATATGTTGAATTTCTCTGGCACCGTACGTAGCCAACCGCGCTGTGTGTGTGTATGTTGAATTTCTCTGGCACCATACGTAGCCAACCGTGCTGTGTGTGTATATGTTGAATTTCTCTGGCACCGTACGTAGCCAACCGTGCTGTGTGTGTGTATGTTGAATTTCTCTGGCACCGTACATAGCCAACCGTGCTGTGTGTGTGTATGTTGAATTTCTCTCGCACCGTACATAGCCAACCGTGCTGTGTGTGTATATGTTGAATTTCTCTGGCACCGTACGTAGCCAACCGTGCTGTGTGTGTATGTTGAATTTCTCTGGCACCGTACGTAGCCAACCGTGCTGTGTGTATATGTTGAATTTCTCTCGCACCGTACGTAGCCAACCGTGCTGTGTGTATATGTTGAATTTCTCTGGCACCGTACGTAGCCAACCGTGCTGTGTGTGTATATGTTGAATTTCTCTGGCACCGTACGTAGCCAACCGTGCTGTGTGTGTGTATGTTGAATTTCTCTGGCACCGTACATAGCCAACCGTGCTGTGTGTGTGTATGTTGAATTTCTCTCGCACCGTACATAGCCAACCGTGCTGTGTGTGTATATGTTGAATTTCTCTGGCACCGTACGTAGCCAACCGTGCTGTGTGTGTATGTTGAATTTCTCTGGCACCGTACGTAGCCAACCGTACTGTGTGTGTATATGTTGAATTTCTCTGGCACCGTACGTAGCCAACCGTGCTGTGTGTGTGTATGTTGAATTTCTCTGGCACCGTACATAGCCAACCGTGCTGTGTGTGTGTATGTTGAATTTCTCTGGCACCGTACGTAGCCAACCGTGCTGTGTGTGTGTATATGTTGAATTTCTCTGGCACCGTACGTAGCCAACCGTGCTAATCGGAGGTGCCAGTGGGCGGAGGGGGAAGGACAACAAACTGCACACAACAGCAGGCAGTTCTACAGAAGTTAGTTTGTCAATCTCGACGACGATTTATAAAGTGCGCAGCTTCCACCCAAGCGGCTTCAGAGTAAATCGGCAGAGGGGGGTCCCCGTCAGTGCGTGCCGTGTCCGCAACCCCTCCCGCCGCGGGGCGTCGTGGTGGTCGGGGCGCTCTCACGCCCACACCACCCCCCGGCGTGGGTCCCGCGGTTAAAGTCACGGCCGCCGCTAAAACCTCCGACCCAGGTGCGTGTATTTTTTTTTTCCCTTTAAATTCATGTTGAGAGCTCCCGAGCCTCCGAAATCGCCTCGCGACAGCTTTCCGAACGACGACGCCTCCCGGGCGCGACGCACGAACGAACGAACGAACGAACGCGCGACCACTTTCACCCTCGTCACCCCTCCCCCCCTCCCCCCTCGCTCCACCGTTCGTTCCTCTTCCACGTAACTGCGGCAGCCGTTCAACTCTCGCTAGAAAACAAACAAAAAAAACCCCAACACCGCGACCTCCTAACCACGGTCAAGGCTTATTTTGTAATGTTTACTAAAAAAAAAAAATCGTTTTATGAATTTTCCCGGGCCGTTTGGGTTGTGCGACCGCATGCCAGCAGCACGCTTCAGCGCCCGCGCCCTTTCCATCGAGGGGGGGGGGTGGGGGAGAGACCCCTCGCAGGCCTTGCCCAGACCACGCGCTCACAAGGAACTGGCACGAGCGAGCGAACGCGCGCTCGCGCGCGCGTGGCCCCGTTGCAACAAGCGGAATGAGAATCGCTATTTATACCGGAGGGAGGAATCCGGTGAGCTATGAAGCTCTTTTTTTTCCCCCTACACACACGCGCGCACGCGCGCGTCCAGCCAGGGGGCAGGGGCGGTATAGAGGTTACGACAACAACAAACACAACTACGACAACAATAAACGACAGGAGTGCAAAGTACAGGAAAGGTAAACCAATTATCCAAACGCCCAAAGCGTGTGCACGCACGCGCTACGCACAAACGCGCTACGCACGCGCGCAACGGAAACTCAGATCCAGCTTCCCGCGAAATCACCGAGAGAGGGCTGGGCCCGGCGCTCGGCAAATCACGATCCCGGTCGCAACGCCGATGCGGGTTGCCGATCGTGGTCCCGGGCCCGGAAGCCGGTGTCCGGTCCCGACGAGTTCACCGTGCCCCCCGCAGCTCTCTCGGCTGCATTCTCGCCGAAGACCGGTGACGACGTGCGCCGAACGATACCGAGCGCGGCGACGGCGTCACGTCAGCTAAAATACGACGCGGAAGCGGGAGGGGTGGCGAAATGCTCGCTCGAACCTCGAGCCACTTCCTGCCGCAAGGCAAGGAAAACAAATCAAATGTGTTTATTAAAATCACGTTTCACCATCGGCAGCACTCGCTCACCCACCCAGCCACTCCACTCAATGGTGGAGCCAGGATTTTCAGGTGGGGGGGGGGGGGGGGCAACCCCTCCAGCAATGAAAAATTATAGAGTTGTCCCTTGATTTCTGTGCGGCGATGGCGCAGCCATCGATCGAGGGTCGAATTCGAACCGCGTTGTGTGATTGGCATTGTGCTCGCCGAAGGCGAATGCCTTCAGGGAAGTCGTGTGCTGGATATGCAACTGCGCACAATTCTGTGAGTCACTTATAACCGCTTTGCCGTTACTTATTGCCAATTATGGACTCAGACTATTGTCCTATCATCTCATAGAGTCCCTGGCACATAATAATATGCTACACAGTGGCAGTGGGGGTCGCAAAATGCCGATTTATTACTAATAAACCCCAATGATCCGATAGAGATTACCGATTTCGATCGGATCATTGGGGGGGCACGTGCCACCACACCCCCACTGGCTCCGCCAGTGACTCCACTCGTGACTCCACTCCTCCTCCTCCTCCTCCCACCCTCATCCTCTCCCGCCGCCCCTCCTCCTCCCAGCCCTCCCCCCCCTCCTCCCACTCTTCCTCCTCCTCCGACCACCCTACCCCCTCCTCCTCCCCCTCAATTCAAACAAAAAAGTGTCAATCTCTTTGACATCGATCCGCAGCTTTCAACGGCTGCCGTTTTGTTTCCTGGATGCTTTACTTTGTTTGGGACATTGGGGGAGGGTGCGGGGAGGGGAGGGGAGGGTTCCGGGCTTGGCAAGAGTGGAAAATAAAAAATAGAAATATATCGCGATAAGACAAGGCTGGCACGGCCCGGTTTTATTCATTCGGGTTTTAATCGTTTTTTTATATAAAGCCGGAGCACTTAGATCGTGCCCAAATCCGGTTTTATTCGGTTTTTATTAAAGTTAAGTCGGGATTCAGTGGCACGCACCCCATTAGCGGCGTTCGGGCCGGGGCCCGGGCTCAGCCGCCACGCGCCTGAGTCACGCGCACGGCAGCATGGCCACGTGGACCGCTGCTGCTGCTGCGTCTGAGCGAAACTTCTCGACGCTGGGATTCATCCATTCCAAGTTGAGGAAAGAGCCTGGCGCCCAACGCGGTCGAGAAGCTCGTCCTCATCAAGTCGAACCTCAAGGCGTTCCACGACTACCCGACGACGCCCGACGCCGGCGACAACAACGCCGAGTCCAGCGGCGAGGGCGACGACGACGAAGACGACGAGGAGGAGCAGGATTGAAGTGTGCACGAGACGCCGATAATAAAACCAGGTTTTAAATCGGCAAAATCGAGTTTCATTCCATTAA